CTGGGTTTCCTCCCCAAGGTCCAGAAACTGACTGCCTTTGGTCCTCCAAGCCGATACCTTTGGCAAACTCAGTGAAGTCATAGTGGCAATTCTCGTTTTTCAGTCGTTAGAGGCAGATCAACAGGTCGACTTCGAGATCAGGAAGCCCTTCCTTTGAAGAGTCGCTACCTTTAGGAGCCGATTCACGCTTCTCACGCCTTCTTGGTTCTTGCTAAATATAATAGGCGGGTTGAACTTTTAGAAGCATAGCAACCATGCGATGTTATGGAAAGACGGAGGATATCTCCCGTAGCCTGGACGCACGAACCCCATATCGCGTCAAGCCCACGAATGCTCCCGTTCCACAGATTGGCCACAAAAAGCCTCGACAGGGCCACAAGTGAAACGCCCGTCGCCAAATAGGCTAAGCACGACGACACCAAGCCCAGCTCGTTCTGTTATTTACGCAATTGGCCAAACATGACATCATCAACAGAACGTGTGAGACTCCCTTTCCGTCCCTGGTTCAATGGAGCCAGTGGCCGCCAGTCACATCGCGATTTACTATCTTGAAGGTGTAGATCATGGCGCTAAGGGACCAAGCTTTGCGGAGATCCCACACCACCCGCATCACAGAACGCGGCATTCAGATCCGAATGTGGGGGTTGGAACATGGAGAAGCCAATTGGGGGTTTGTTGCTTATCTGGATGGATCGCCAGAATGGCTTCATCTTTCCAAAGGTGAGGATTATCTGGGGATTCATAGGGGATAAGTACAAGCCGGCTCCGCAGCTCTCTAGCAACGGCACGATGCCAAATCCGACTCTCACTAACCACGTCTCACATCAAAATCACCTACAATGAATGAACTAAACATCAAGAGTGGTCGGCGAGTGTCATTTGGGAGAGGTGGAGCTGGTAACATACGTGAGCTTCTCCTGGTTCGTGATGACCGTTGCCTATCGCTGACATGCACCTTCCCAGGTCATTACGCAGATGCCAGACTGGTTGAAGAAGAGCCATCTGTGGGAGTGCGTCGGCGAAGCAGTGTTTGGAGCACTTCGTCGTCAGACTCTTCGCACAGAGGGTTAAGTCTCGTCCATAGCGTACGAGATGTCTTCAGGAGGAAATCATTAGATGACACCCCCGAGGAACCTCTGGCCGATGGAACTAGAAGAAAAAGTACACATTAACCAGCTGCGGGTAGCGGATTGCGATGCGAGTTTTGAGATACCCTGGGATAATCAATGGGTATGAACTAAGTAGGCTTGAGTTTTGTTTTTTCGATGAAGACAGTGATATTATCACAAAGATTATGGGGTTTGACACGGAATATGACAACGACTCGATTAAATCAATTGGTCAAAGAAGGCTGTGGGCTTGTACAATATGGTATGATTAGGAGAGCTTCACAATATTTCCCACGTACAATCTAATGCAACACTTTCCAGAAGCAACTCATTGACGTCACTCGAGACAACCTGGTCCGTAGTCCTCCCTCAACACCCCGGCAGTCCGGGCACAGTATCGGCCAAAGTCGATCGGCCTGTACAGCTAGCGGTTGTTCCATTGCCAGTCATCAGATCAATGTTCTGAAAACTGATAATGTGACAAGGAAGCCTCTGGCTACAAGTCAGGCTGACTCGGTTGATCGCACCAGAAAGCATTCCGGTAACATTGGCGAAGACGACATTCGATATTTCCATGTTACTGGTCCCGACATTTGACACGTTACCACTATTGTTTTGGAAGATAGTAGGGGCATATATCGACTTGATAAACATCCGTGATCCGCAGGAAACCGACGAAGTACTCTTCCCACCAGTAGCGCAGCCCTTGAGACTTCACCTCCGTGATCAATGCGTTATTACGCCAACTCAATCTTTCACGCTGACGTATGCGGATAACTAGATCTGCATCTGCGGCGAATGTTCGTGTAATGACAGCTATCTCGCGGTCATTGCTTACCCGATGCTAAGGTAGTGCATGCATCCCATCAAGAACTTGTAGCTGAGGCCATTCCTTGTCTGTTGAGGCATTTACGGCGAGTTGCGGATCCGAAGGCCGATGTCGTATTTTGATTCAACCCGATCGGGCCTTTTCCAAATTAGACAACAAAGTCTAGATACGCGGCACAAGAAGAAACGTACGTCCTCCGGCTCCTACAGATTCCCGAGTGCATTCTGTTCAAGCACACCTAACAATTCATTAGGGTATGAATTATCATGATGTCATGTCACTATACGACATTATACTTGCCAGAGAAGCCGCTGCATCCAACGGTCTCAATAACCAGAACAAGTTCATCAGTATTGATACAGCATGACTGGAACGTGTGGATAAGTCAAGGTCAACCTTGAATCCAAATTCAACAAATGGGGGCTTGGAACATGGTTTATTTACGCTTTAGGAGAAGCCTTTGAGCAATTACCCACACACATACCGTTTTAGACAGATCCCCGTTGAAAGTTCCGATTTTCTCTATTTACGACTCAGTCTAGCGGCTGAATCCTAGGCCACCTCAGGTTGAGGTCTTCCGAGACGGCAATAGCTCTGTGAAGTCAAGAAGAGTAACCTTCTCATTCTCCAACCAGACCCAGATGGCATGCGGACTTTGAATAAAGATAATCAGGTGGAAGGATCAGAAGAAACTTCGTAAAACACCTTAGACCGACTGCGAAATCATCGGCAGTGAAACTTCAGCAATGTGATTTAAGAACGCAGCAAACGTTGTCTCACGGCTTTATTCACAGAACCCTGCAAGAGCGAAAGATGAAGCAGAGGGTTGATAAAGTTCCATGCAGCGGGTAATGCTGAAAAAGGAGTCACGATCCGAACCTCCACCCAAAACGAGAAACTATGTTCAGGCTTATCGATTCAATACGGTCAATGACGGTGGTAAAGGTTTGAATAAGGTAAGGAACTTCTATCGTGACATTGGAGCCCCTTATTATATCATCATTCAGGTGAAGCAGACCTACTACCAGACCCACCTCAGGAGACCCCTCTGTAGACCCGAAACAAAGCCGAATGGAATCTTTTCCGTAACAACACCTTCTTTCAAGTTTCGTGATAGTTGCTGGAAGACGTCTTAGATCTTTCGGGCCGTCTGTCTATCTGGTCCACAATATGGTTCTCTGAGAGAATGGCATCGTACGATACAGGCTAGTGGTTGAGAACGTTGGCCTATCTCGTATCTAAGCCAAGTCCGTCGGGACCGCAGAACTTCGTCGAACTTGAGAAGCTTTTCGACTACGAAGCTGTTAACATAGAGGTAGAAAAGATATTCGGCGTATCTCGACGTCTACATAAGAAGACCACCCACTCGCCTGGACATCCAGCAGCGTTCTATCTGCAGACACTCATCGGTTCATTCGTCCAACATTCCAACCTTACTTCCTGATATTGCAAACGCCTGCGCCTGTATATCGAAATGCAGCCCACCATCGTTCTATCCCTTCTTGCCCTTGTTGGCAATGGCCTTTGTGACTGGCCTGCTCCGGGAATTGTCGCCCACGACTCCCTCAATCCTGTGGCCGATACTCTTGGCCCAAACGGAAATGTCATCAAGAAATTTCAGCCGCTGCTGCACATTGCCCATGGCTGCCAGCCTTATCCCGCTGTGAACAAGAACAACCAGATTAGGTGAGTAATCTTTGTCAACATTCTGTGTTTCCAGACATATTGACATAGAGGGAAGCGGCGGTTTGCAGGATACTGGAACTACCTCAGGAGGATGTAAGGACAGCAACAAAGGGCAGACCTATGTCCGTTCCATGACTCTGAATGGAAAGTTCGGAATCATGTATGCTTGGTACTGGCCCAAGGACCAGCCAGCCGATGGAAACGTCATAGGCGGCCACCGTCACGACTGGGAGACTTCGGTCGTCTGGCTTGATTCTGCTTCAGTCAACACTGCTACTATCACGGGTGGCGCCTGTTCTGGACATGGCAAATTTAAGTTGACCAGCAACCCTCAAAGGAGCAGCAACAACGTCAAAGTCGAGTATTACACCCAGGGTGGTTTGGACCATGAGCTGCAGTTTACGAACACCGTGGGTCGAACATACTGGATCTGGGATTGGGATGCCATGGAGCCTATTGTCCAGAGCGCTTTGAACAAGGGAGACTTCAAGAAGGCAAACTGTCCATTCAACGACAACCACTTTGAAACAAACATGCGCGCCGCCTATGTCTAAGGGACTCGGCGTCGCCTGAGATTATGGCATTAGAAGGACTCGCTAACGTCAGTCTCTCGGAGCGTCGAACTATCCACACTATGAAATAGCTCAGATATCTTACAACACACTGTAATGTCACTCTCAATGTCTTGTTCGCTATTGTAGTGACGCGTGTCGAGATAACGGCCCATAGATCTGCTTAGTTCTAATCAGAGATTCTTTTCTTTTGCTTCTCTGGCCAGATGCGTCCAGGACTCGTTATGTCTGACGACATTGCGCATATGTGCTAACGTTGGCGGTGAGACTTGAGCGCTACAAAGATTAGAGCATGACGTTTTTCCATGAATTCAAGCTCCATTTCTATATTTCAATCATTCCAGATGGCATGTGTCATCCAACCCTACCGTTGACTACCCAGTGTCTCGGCTGTTCACCTATATTGGCTACTGAAAGTCACTCGATCCCCAGAGCAATGCCATTTATCCTCGGGCTAGAACCTTCGAGTTTGCATGGAATTGCCATGTTTGATTACAAGGACAGTCCCGCAAACAAGATAGCCTGTGAAACTTCCGGAGAACAGTTTAAGTGCTTAGTAAGAGTGGTGGGAGACTAAGTTCCCGCTCTAGTTAGATTTCTCGTTTCAGACTCACAGACCGTGATCCTAGCTACGCACGTGGGTAACCTATGCTGACACAGCAAAGTTCAAAGATCGGATCTGAAACTTTCTGGGACTTCACGTTGATAAATGACATCAAGAAACTGAATGAACTGCAACATACCGTTGAGTGGTTTACTTCGTGATCTTCAGACATAGACGAAGATTCACGTTTGTAATCCATTATGTCCATCCGCCACGAAATCGACAAAGAGGGAGATCTCATTCTTGTGCTCAGCCGACTGGGCATAGACGATGCCGATGTTGCCGAGGATGGCGAAGACGATGTAGACGCCGACGCGAAGCCACTGGAATACGAACAGTTACAGAACAAGGAAGTAAGGGTATCTTCCAAGGTTCTGATGCTGAACTCGCCAGTCTTCAAAGTAATGCTGGGTGGCAAATTCAAAGAAGGCACAGAACTAGCCAAGAGCAACGGACTTTTACTTCCCTACAGCCTTGATCTCCCAGATGACGATGCCGAGGCCATGTCTATACTAAGCCAGATTCTTCACAACGCCTATGTTACCGAGAGACCAAAGCCAATCGGTTTGGCGAGGCTAGCGTTCGTGAGCGACAAGTATGAATGCACTGGGGCACTCAAATACTGCGGAATGGTATGGATCAGGGATTGGCTCTCGGATTACGACGAAAATGTGCCGCCAATGGCCGACCTTTGTCACCTCTTGGTCTTTTCATATGTCGTAGACCTACCCCTCGAATTCTCGGAATTATCGTGGAGGATATTCCTCCACCACGAAGGACCAATCTTGCGAACCTCGGACCAAGTCAAAGTACTAGCAGATCATCCTCTGCTAAGGCATGACATCATTCGTAAGTAAACTCATTGACGAGAGTCATGTGGAAGCTCCTCTTGACTTTGATCATTCAGGATGTTTGGAGATGAAAAGGCACGAATGCTGCAACTCATTCTACAAGGGTCTCGTCAGTCCCATGACTTGGACGTGGGATATTTCTCAAAACCCCTGTGTGAGATCCGCCAAAGCACTTGCGTCGTATATTGAGACTCTCCGAAAGTCCAACATTCTGCCAAAGGATATTGATTTTGCGACTCACAAATTCTGCAATCTGCTCAACACGGCAGTGGATCTACCCAAGATCACCATGATGGATTTCTCGTGCATAAGGGAGGTTGGGGTTTGTGGCTGTCGCTCGAACAAGTACGCCAACCGCAACTTGTCGCATGAAGTTGAAAAGGAGGCAGACAAGATAATCCAGCAAAGACGGGTGTTCAATTGCCTGGATTGTTTGAAAAGCGACGGTGCATCTGGGAAGCAGCGATCATGTCGCATTCCTCATTGATCACAGGTACACTTATCAAAGCCCATGAAGACCGTGATGAGAAGAAGCGCCAACTTATGAGAGTGGCTCTCGATGTGAGATTTAGGATAAGGGCGTGTGCTACGCGAGGAGTATTCAAACACAATAAATTCGCCTCCAAAATGAATGGACCCAATATTTTAACTGTTTGAAGTTACTATTGTCAACCTGCGGCTAAATCGCGGTTGGTTTCCCTCCTTGGAGGGCTCGTCTACTTCGATACCTTGCTTGGTAATTCAGCTTAACTGTGGATCAACCCCCAAGTGACAAACACCATCTTCTGGCTGTTGTAACACTGCACAGTCCCTTGCAGTCCTAGCTTTCCATTCTGTACCATGACACCATATCTCGTCGTGTAGAAGCGAATATCGTTCGTGCCAACATTCATAGGGCTAGCCGCGCTGCCAGAGTCGGCGTATCTGACGGCAAAGCTGCAAGTTCCCGAGCTCACCACGGCTGCCCATCCGTTGGAAGAAAAGTCCCCAGGTTGTAAGGTCCAAAATCCATTCTGGCTGCTGAGAGAGCTGGCGAGTGCCTGGCAATCTGCTGCCAGGGGCGCGGAAGCTGAGAAGTCTGTGGCTGGGTCCTCGGCCATCTCTCCGCACCATTCGTCTCTACCGGAAGAGAAGGGGAATCTTTTTGATAGGCGGACGGGCCGTGTGCCTTCTGATCCCTGGGTGAATTTGATGTTGCGGTTCATGCGTATTGTTGAAGTAGTGCCGTCGGCGTTGGCGAACGTTCGAGGGACCATGAGTTCAGAATCCTGCACCGATGCATTTGCTACTGAGAGCAAGCCAAAGGTGACGAGGCCAAGTACGGACTTAGCTGAGATGTGCATTGTGATGTAATTTAATGTGTCAAAATTTGCTGTCGCGAAGTTTCTGTGTTGAATAGACGATCGTTGAGGAAAAGTAGTTGAGTCTTGGCTTTGATTTGAAATTTGTTTAAGCGGGTTGTTGTAGCGGGAATCAAAAAGGATTGGTGATACTCCAAAACCGAAGCAAGGGAAAACAATACAGGAAGAGGCTCTCTTATATTAACATGATGACTAGCAGATAAATGCTATGACGGACAAAGGCAAAGGGAGTGAAGGGATGGGTTGTGCCGAATCACTGCGTGTGATTCATTCCCTGCAACTTGATGTTTGCTGCCAATGGCCGTGCCTGAATCAGTCGAGCTTACGAGAAATCAGCTCTGTGATGAGCGCGGGGTCCAAAAACGCCAAGTGATTCGCTCTGAGATGTTCGAGAAAGCCCATGGCCCCCGATGTTGTATGAGAGGGCCCCGCATTGCGACCGCATTGCGGGTATAGCGGACTCGGTTTGTGAAGTTGATCGGTGGCGGTCTCGCGATGCTGTTGGGTAAAGAAGCTTACGTGATGGTCCTGAGTGTGATAGTGACGGGAAACGGCCCCCGGGAGAGCGGGGATTGGCACCGGAAGCGCCCAGGGCAGACGTGACATTAATGCGGCACATGTGTGCACCGTGGGGACCAGCCAATGACAACGCTACACCGTCATGTTGGTTTGGTTTACGGATCTGCAAGTGTCCCCAGCTAGGGTGATGAGAGCTAGATTCGTGCATGAAATCAAAGTGATGATTTGGGGCCGGTGGAATGGCAGTTCCCCTGAATTGAAGGCCCTCAATTCAGGTCGGGGCCGTCGGACATTGGGGTTCTCTAGCTGAAGGCCGCTTGCTTTGCCCGCAGTTGGGGGTTGCACATTGTTTGCTGTGGCCAATAAGACAATCTTCCACATTACTTCGCAAGAACGTTCTTTCGAGTCATTGAATCGGGGCAAGCCTCTTCTTCCGTTTCGAGGTGGAGGTGGAGGTAGGCAGACAGGAAAACATTGTTGACCCTTCGTCGGCAGCAGATCCATGATATAGCGCCATCGTCCGATCAGGCAGTCGGTGAGGAAACTCTCGATTGCTATGTACCCATCAGGCCATCTCAGTTTGGAACAATCCCCCCTCGCCCAGAGCGTGTACTTGGTTCAACCTCACCCGAATCCAGTGAGACAGTATCGATCAGGCAAGGGCACGAGCAACGTCGGCTTCCAAATTCGATATTGCATGTCTAACGGCATCCATTCCCCTCACATCGTCTTCAATGAACTTCGTCGCTTCGTAAAGGTGGGGCTGTCCGTCAGCAAGGAAGAGCTTCACCTTGCTTTCCCCGAGACAACGAACCATGTGAGTGCTCACAGAGAGGTCAACATCCTCATCAGCGTCACCCTGTATGATGGTCGTGGGTGGCCACGCCGCAGCTCTACTCTTTCCCATCTCGCCTTTGGCCCACTCGTAGCCTGGGTCAACTTCACCCACAAGATTGAGAAATTCATTGCGGTAAAGGTAGTAGTCATAGAGACATCCTCGGGGGAACTCATCGCAGTTGCCATCATCTGAAATGGGGAGTGGAGGCAATACAAATGCGGTATTCTTGGCGCCATCAGGAAGGATCTTTTCGACGTGGAAGACCTGTGGATTGTTTGCCGAAGTCACTCCTATGGATACCGGTGCGGATAAGTGGTGGCTCATTTGTGCTTCGGTGATGGGTTCCGGTGTAAGTAAGACTGAAGAACTGAAGAATGGATGACGAAAAGTAGTGATACCGGTGATTGATAACAGAGCAACGGGAGTCGGGTGGAGGTGATGAGCCGTCAGAGAGGCGATGAAGAAACCTAGGACTCAAGTCAGGGCCTCGATGGAAGGTTTGAGGCGACGTAGTGAAGAGCCTCTTACCTGCACTTGATCCACCCACAATCACTTTTCGATTTGAGGCAAGCTCATTTGTGACTCCCCAACGCAGGGCAAAGGAGTAAGCGTCGGTGGCATCTTGGAGCAGACCTGAAGCTTTGGCCTGGGGAAGCATCCGATAGCTCGCGCTGATGAGGGCCCATTGATTCTTGAAGCAGACCTAGTGTGGTAAGGTCAGCTACCTTTGTCGGATGAGGAAGCACAGGTGGTTGTTCATGAAGATGAAGGGCTCACCTGTACAAGCCAAGGCGGAACACATTCCCTGGAACCGCTCACGAGGCCCCCTGAGTGGAAGTACAGGAAGACTGGAGCTCCGAGTGGGTATCCATCGGAGGAATACACATCGCACTCGAGCGGGATCGTGTGTCGCGCAAAGATATGAGTGGTCTTGGTTAACGACATGCTGTCTCAGTGCACGAATGGCTGGAGAATTTCGGGAGTGGGAATGAGGAGCTCAGCTGGGATCGTGGGGGATGAGTGAGGGATGGCCGTGCCAGTAAGGCGATGGTAAGCAGGTCATGATGGTGGTGCTCATGACGAGCATCATGAGATTCCAGGGAGTGAGATGTGATAGGATGATCTGATGCAATGGATGCGTCCCTTTGGCGGGGGATCTACTCATGTCACCTTGTGGGCATTTTACAATACGACGGAGCTTCAGTCCAGCCACATGAGGTGAGAGCTGCACGAGCCACTTTGGACGAGATGCACTAGCCACAGTTTCTCTTTTGCCGATCGGCTGGAGACAACAGACGGGAAGCACCACATTGGCGTTAAAGATGTGCAGGAGCCATGGAGAAGTCAGAATTGGAGCAGGAGGAGGGGCCGCGGGCAATGAGTGGACAGGCGGGGTAATAAGAACTTGGCTTTTACTCACGTAATCAGTCACTATCCAAGGCGGTGAACAAGTAGATGCCAGATCAGGACTAGCATTGTTGTTTGCCGCGGGATGGTTTTGCCGGTATGCCGTCCTCACCGTATTACGGCATTCCCTCCCGGAGGATGCCACTGACCGCTGGCGTTCCTAAGCCGGGAAATGGATATGGCAATCAGTACGTAACCGCAGACAAAAAACATCCTGGTCGGTTCTGCCGGTAGACCATACTACGTACTGTATGTACAGTACCTTAGGGAAGGTGGGAAGGTCATATCGTCGAATCGAGTTCCGCTGACACACAACTTTGAAGAGCCCCAACGCATTGATGTCACTCCGATCCTTGGACCTTGGGGCAATTGCGGAACTGGAATCCTAATCCCTGCAGAAAACATTCACCGACCATTTCGTTCCTTCGTTTCCAAGCGACCCTTTGCCATTGAAATTTGGGGCTTTTGGTGCTAGTTAACTCCCAGTCCACAGTTCTAGCACCGGCTCGGCACCACCACCGACACCAGTCCGCTCGCCTCTTACAAGGTCGCGAGCCACAACACCTTCAATCTCTCTCTCTCGTCGCAATTGTTTGACCAACGAGTCAGCCTTGCTGTGACAAATTTTCCTATCATGGTTCAGCCTGGCACTGCTACAACAAACTGATACTCGGCATTTCTATCCCCATCACCGTCTTTTCCGTCCCGAATCTCGTCCTTCCGTCTCTACCCGCTGGCACTATTGGCGACCTAGGCTCGAGACGACTGCAACCTCCCGTCACATCAAAACAACAACACCAACAAAATCAGTGTTGCGCCCTGTGTGTACGCATACGCATAGTCCCAGAGAATCTACAAATCGATCTAGATCTCGAGATCCAGTCTCGCTTAAGTCACCCCCGCCAATCTCATCCGAGCATTTTCCCAGCCCTCTTCCTCTCTCGCCCTCTCTGCTGCCCCTCGCCGCATGAACCTGTAACGTCATCTTGTTTGGGGGTACGAAAAAATGTCAGGTAGCCGACCACAACCGAGTCGCAGTCCTTCTTCGCAAACAACACAAACAACGCAGACGACACATCGCCCAGCGAATCCCAGCGGTTTGCGCCAGAGCTACACTATGGGCTCTCCCATCCAATCCCCAAGCTCTCTCGGCGGCGAGTCCGAATACTTGAGCACTCGCGAGGATGCCACGCCGCTGGCAACCCCTCTTCCGAACGACAACGAAACTCGCGATCCTCCTCGCGCCGGCTCTAGCCTCAACCGACCGAACACGTTCCCGCCGAGCGAATCGACGAGCCTCTTGCAGAATGTTCTCATCGACCATCCTCCAGCTAACAGCTACCCGAACGGAACATTTTCGCCGCGACCTGCCAGCCCTGCTGGTAGCATGGACCCCGAATTTGACAGAGCATCGTCCTCGGCGTCCGAGATCCCAATCTTGGATCCTGTGCTGACCGCAATTACGGGCGACGACCACTGGAGGAAGCGATTTGTCAGGAAGATCAAGAGCAGGAAGATGCACTCCTCGAGAACTTTAGCAGAGCAAGCTGGCTTCAAGGACACCGTTTGGATGTGAGCAGGACCCAGATCCCGAGTTTCCGACCACTCAACTCTGCTTTGCTTGCTAACTCTGCTTTCTTCTTCTTAGGTACCTTTCGTACTACATCCCTCTTTTGACTTGGCTACCACAGTACCAATGGTCGTATCTCAAGGGAGACCTCGTTGCAGCTTTGACGCTCGCCTCCCTCTACCTACCTATGGCTTTGTCCCTCGCCGACAACCTCGCACATGTCCCTCCGATCAATGGCCTGTATGCCTTCGTCTTCAACCCATTCGTATACGCCGTTTTCGGCAGCGCGCCTCAGATGGTGGTTGGCCCGGAAGCTGCTGGTTCTTTGCTGGTCGGGTCTGTGGTGAGAGGCAGCATCGACCATGACAAGGGCGACGAGTACAATGCAGAGGTCCAAGCTAAGATCTGTGGTGTCGTGGCGGGTATGGCTGGTGCTACTGTCTTTCTTGCGGGTCTCGCCCGCCTGGGCTTCCTCGACAGTGTTCTCAGCAAGCCGTTCCTGCGCGGCTTCATCTCTGCGATTGGCTTCGTTATTGCGGTCGACCAGTCTATTCCCGAGCTTGGTCTTGCCAAGTATGCGGCAGAAATGGGCGTGGGCCATGGAAGCAGCATGGACAAGCTAGAGTTCATCTTCAGCTCATTCGACCACGTTCACAAGCTTACCTTCATTGTTGCCGGGGTCAGCTTCGTAATCATGATGACTATGAGAGAGCTCAAGAAACACATGGTGCCCAAGTATCCTGGTGTCGCCTACATCCCCGATCGTTTCTTCGTCGTGGTCATTGCCGCAGTTCTCTCGTGGCAATTCGACTGGGAGAGCAAAGGAGTTGAGATTCTTGGGCCGGTCAAGGCGGCTTCGGGTCATCTCTTCCAATTCCGCTGGCCCTTCCAGACTTCTCATATGGAGCATGTTCGTGAAGCAATGGGTACATCCTTCCTAATTGCGCTCCTGGGATTCTTCGAGTCATCCGTTGCCGCGAAAAGCTTGAGCAGCTCTGATAGCCCGCACGGGATCCAGCTGAGCCCCAACAGAGAGCTTGTCGCTCTGGGCGCCGCCAACATTGTTGGAGCTTGCTTCATGAGCTTGCCCGCGTTTGGTGGATATGGTAGAAGCAAACTGAACAAGCAGACTGGCGGCAAGACGCCAATGAGCTCCATCTTCCTCAGCTTGATTACGCTTCTTGCCGTCTTCTTCCTGTTGCCATACTTTTACTACCTTCCCGTAAGTTGCCACTTCCTAGGAGTAACTCCATCATCTAACATCCTTAGAAACCGGTCTTGTCATCCATGATTACCGTTGTAGCCTGGTCCCTACTCGAGGAGGCCCCGCACGACATTGCCTTCTTCTTCAAGATTCGAGGCTGGACTGAATTGGGATTGATGCTCATCATCTTCGTGTCGACAATCTTCTACTCGCTCACTCTCGGCATGGCTATTGGCGTTGGTCTGTCCTTGCTCCAAGTCATCAAGCACTCGACTCGCCCTCGCATTCAAATTCTGGGCCGCATTCCCGGCACGCAGCGCTTCGAAAACGCGGAGCTTAACCCTGATAGACTAGAGTTTGTCGAAGGCTGCCTTATTGTCAAGATCCCCGAACCCTTGACCTTTGCCAACACTGGAGAGCTGAAGGCGCGTCTTCGTAGACTGGAGCTTTACGGCACGAGCATGGCGCACCCTGCACTGCCGAGACTGCGGGGCGAACAGCATAACAAGAATGTCATTTTCGATATCCACGGTGTCACCTCACTAGACGGATCAGGCACGCAGGTGCTGTTGGAGATTGTCAGCGGGTATAGAGAGCGTGGCGTTAGAGTGTTCTTCAGTCGCGGCCCCACGAACCCGCGCCATCATATATGGAGACTCTTGAGACAGGCAGGCATCATAGATTTGGTCGGCGGGGAGTCGCACTTCGTGACGGACGTTCAGGAAGCCTTGAAGTTGACCGAGTACGAGAACAGCATCAGCGAAGTCGCGAATGCCTGAGAAAAAAGAGGTGCAAGTCAGTCCGCTCACATCGTCAAAAGTGCGGGGTTGGTTTGTACGTATGATAGAATGCGGCGTTGTTTTTGGTAACCAGCATTTTGGAGCGAGGAAAGGCGTCCCGATTTTCAGTTCTTGCAGGATATCTGTTCGTCTTACGAAGCGTACTTTTATGCTTAATGATTCGCAACGATTACGTTATGGATACGTTTATAGAAAGTTTATATAAAAAGCGGTGCGGTTGTTTTCCAAACTTCTTCCAGCATAATTCTCAAGTGATGTGTATATTGCATTGCATTGTTCAACGGATGTGTGGTCGCCGTATAGGCCTCCGCCGGTGCTTGCATTCAAAATCACCACAGCTCCTCGTCGAGACTTTTAGATCTTCGTTCATAAAACCCAAAAAAGTTTGAGTGGGCAGCGATCGTACAATCATTCACATTCTCAGATGCTTATTTCCAATAACTATTGACAAATTTCCTGCATTTTTTGCTTTACGCAGCCTCATTCACAAACAAACCAGCCATACCCTGTCCCGTACCAATACACATGCTCGTCAACAGAATCTTCTTCTTTGTCCGGCGCAGCTCGCTCAGACCGGTAACAATCTGTCTCGCGCCTGTAGCGCCGAGCGGGTGGCCCAGGGCGACGGCGCCGCCGCGGGGGTTCATCTTGGCCCAGTCGAGGGCGAGCTTGTCGCGGCAGTAGACGGCCATGCTGGAGAAGGCCTCATTGATCTCGACGACGTCAATGTCGGCGAGGGAGAGGTTGTGCTGGGCGAGCAGCTTGGGGATAGCGACGGACGGGCCAATGCCCATGATGCGCGGGGCCAGGCCGGCGACGGTGGAGCCGACGTACTTGGCGATGATGGGCTGGCCGAGCTTGATGGCCGTGGAGCGCTTCATCAGGAGGACGGCGGCAGCTAGAGATCAGGTTAGCATATTTCATTAATGAAGCTTCAATGGTATGTAAAAAAGACTAACCTCCGTCAGTGACCTGACTGGCGTTGCCTCCGGTGGTGGTAGGACCCCACTGCGGGAACGCAGAGCGGATCTTGCCCAGGCTCTCCGCCGTCGTTCCAGGCCGAATGCCCTCGTCGCGGGTAAGAGTAACCTCCTTGACGTCGCCGTCGGGGCCGACAAGCTTCGTCTTGATGGGCACAATCTCGTCGTCGAACCATCCGGCATTCTGCGCCTTCTCGGCCCTCTGGAAACTCTCGGCGGCGTACTTGTCGAGCTCCTCGCGGCTGAGGTTGAAGTCGCGCGAGACGTTCTCCGAGGTCCAGCCCATGGGCTGCATGCAGTCGGCCGACTCCTGGGACTGGGAGACGACGGCCTCGTCAAAGGGCTGGTCGAGGGCGTCGCCGCCAATGGTCATTTGTTCGGCGCCCATGCCGATGCCGACCTCGATGGAGCCGTTGCTGATGGCGTGGGCGATGTCGGCGGTGGCCTTGAGGCCTGATGAGCAGAAGCGGTTGACGGAGGAGGCGCCGGCGGTGTTGGGGAAGCCTGCTGCCAGGGCGGCGGCGCGGAGCTTGTAGGCGGCCTTGGCATCGGAGACCTGTGAGAGTCAAGAGTCAGCGATTTGCCTACAGAAGATAAGAAGATGTCGGTTGTCCGTCGCTACGCACATTTCCCATGCAAATATCCTCGACCAAGGCGGGGTCGATGTTTGATCGTTCGCGGACCTCCTTGAGGAGGGCGTACACCATATACTCGAGGGTCGTGTCCTTGAAGCCGCCCTTCTTGGCCTTGGCCAAAGGCGTGCGGACGGCTAGCGTAATGACGATATCATCGGGGTTCTTGGAGGTGCTGTGAGGGGATCGCAGTGTGAGCTGTTTTGATTCATTTCCTGTAGGTGGCGACGCTCCGAATCGGAGACAGGCAATCACATGTGCGCAAAAAGGACCGTACGTACATCTGGTTGAGCGCGCTGCCTGGTGCCAGGTGCTTCACAATGGATCCGATTCTCTCGAGAGCCATGTTGTCTGATGGTGGAGATATTACGACGACGGCTTTGCTGTTTTTCTCTTCAAGGGGCAATGGAAGAACGAGGACACAGAAGAAGTGAAGTAAGGGAAAATAAGCTCGAGAGTTTGGTCGACAGTTATTGAAAGGAGGGGGGGCCAGCAGCGTCAAGTAGTCTAGTAGACATGGTTCATGACGGCTTAGCTGCCGGCAATCGTGTCGGGGCTCGGGTCTTTCCCCAGGCGTTGTGTTCCAGCCAGACCAGTGGCTGTGGGGGAGTCAATTGGACCGAGGCATCTCGGCCACAGAGCCGGCCAGTAGGAGTCGAGAACCCGAGTAATGGGGGTCGCCATGGAGTCTGGGGTGCAGTAGCGTGGAGGATATTCTGTGTTAGATCACCCACGGGTTTTATGCCATTGAACTAACGCCCACTAACACTTCTCGCCGAGGTCATTCTCTCCCCAAAATGCCGTCCGCCGGCTACGTTTTGCTGCCATCGCATCGCAACGAACCCCGGTCTTACCGACCTGACAAACTACTGCCGTTGAATTTGCTGACCAACATTGCCTCTTTATCAGATGACACTTAGTTCGACTTTGAGTTCGTGACCATGTTCTGTATCAAAGTTAAACCCCACGGCTCACCCTGCTAAATGCCGACTTTAGGCCGAGGGTACCATCAAGTATAACTGTATAAGGTATGGAAGGTATAGTAATCAACAACACCACTTTGTTCAATTCCATTAGACAGAAGACAGAGTTTGTTCACGTCGTCAATTATATTCGTTCCCTGGGCATATCCAAAATGTCTCCCAAGCTCCAACGGACAGCTTTTCGCAGCTCTTTATCCCTCTAATCCGCATTCTATAACTTGATCTGAGAAGAAACCTTACAAATATGTGAAAAAAGGATGACCAGGCAAAGTCTGCTGGCCCCGTCTATATGATGAATATGTTCCTGGGGGTAGTATATACACCCCGCCCTACATCGTATAAGATCATGATAAGATCGTAAAGAGCAGCTTTACGTCTCATGTTGGTGAGAACCGAATCTACATATTACCAGTTTTGGTCATGAGGTGAAAGTAAAGACGGCGCCGAGGATAGTGGCCGCCATCGCGGTAAGCACCGGTGCGCCTCCACGAACGGCGGCGCTACTGTCACCAGACGTCGGCTTCACGCCCGTGGCACTCTTGCCGAGGTACCATGAGCCGATGTCTGTCAACTTGCCGTCGTTGTTCAGGAACGAGGCATTGGGACCGACGTTGCTCGTCTTGGAGCGGAAAGCGCCAAAGTATGTGTACCGCTCGATATAGTCGATGCGGTCAAAGTACTCTGCGCTCATGTTGTAAAAGTCCTGGGTAGCGGAGAGTTCCTGGTTGGCGTAGGCATACTCGGTGATCCAGATCTTGGTGTCGGGGAACCTAGGCAAGTGTTAGTTATCTAACGGACAGCGCACAGTATGAGAGATGGGTGACAACATACGCTGCGACACGTTCGCCAATGTGGCTCGCCAGGCCTCCAAAGTTATCGTACCAATGCACGGGGAGGAAGTCGTATGTGCAGTTCTTGGTCTCTCCGTCGGTGCTGATGAGCGCGGAGCAGTTACCCAGAAACTGCTTCAACCAGGGCAGACCGCCCGGAGCGCCGGTGCAAGCGGGGAGACCGACCTTGACGCCGAGCTCTTGAAGAGGAATGAAGTTGGCGACCCACGCCTTGGCGGCGATAGAGGGAGCGACGTCGCTGCCGCCATATGATGAGGGACCGTCAGGTTCATTGAAGCCTAGAGCGTGGGTGATGTTGATACCCTTGTCTTTGATCAAGCTCGTCACACTCTTAAGGAACGTCGTGTCTTGGGGATTCGATGAGACACCCCACATCATGGGTACGAACTCGAACTCGGCTTGAGATTTCCCCGAGAAGGCCGGGCTTGGGATTTCCTGGTAGTTGTAGTACCACGTCAGATCAGAACCTGACTGAACCCATACTTGGTTGTCCTGAGGCCAATTGGAATTCGGAGTGAAGACGAGACCGCGTTTCGAGGAGGATGTCGCTGCCACGAGGGGCACCAGGGCGAGGAGGAATGTGGAGAGCATGGTGGGCGGGTTCAAGGTTGAGTGGGTGAGACCCGGTTGAACAGCGACTGGGGGGCCGGGCGGTTCGGGTCGACTGGATTTGGGTGGCCCTTGGAGGCAAAAGCGACGACGGTTATCGCAAGGGCGGTCGTTTGTTATTCCGAGTATGTCGGGTTCTAAGATTGACGATGGTACTCAAGTATCGCGGCGTTTTGCAACGTTGGACAATGGAGGCAATCTTGACCCCTGCGTTTTCGTCTTTGTCGATTACTGTGTATTCGGTACGAAGGAGCGAGCGTGGAGAGTGGCAGAATTAAGTAGGGGTATTCTGATTATGATGGATGGATGGATGCAGGGCTGTCGGCGAGAAAGACTTGAGAAAACGAGTGACAATGGATGGTTTGAAAACAAAACACCTTCTCAAAGAAACGACGTGATAAGCACTGGACAACAAATGCAGGAGGCGGAGCTGAGAAGAGAAAGTCTGAAAGAGACGGGAGGTTTGAGGGAGGAGGGGGGAGAAGAAGAAGAGAAAACAGGAATGAAAAATCCCATGCTGGCGGTGCCGGTGTTGGCGTTGGCGTTTACTGGTTTGGCGTTGCCGCTGGCGTTTGGCGTTGGGACTGGCGCAGGCACTGGTGCGTTCTGTACGTCAGTAGCGTGTCTTGGGTGTCTTTGCGCGATAAGGGTCATCTTCAGCTCCTCCAAATACCTAAGCACCCAAGGTAGGGTAGGTAATCTGGAAAGTATCATCTCACCGGGCTGTTGTCCGTAGGTGGGCTGTAGGTTTACGCAGTAGGTACGGAACTGCGGATACGTCGGTGGGAGTGGATGCCCTGGAGGGAGTGCAAGAGGCAATAATACCACCCACCTGCCGCCAAGCTGAGGTGGTTGAGCTACTGCGGCGCCCGGGCTGGGCTGGGCCGATTGCTGATATTATTGAGGGTTGATGCCTTTGTCCATTGGTCTTGGCCAAACGTCAAACCAATGGCGCGTCCTGAGCTGACCTTGCCCCTGGATTCTGGGCATGACCGTGTAACTGTGTAGTGTACCTACGACTAAGTACTTGTAGCTGACAGTCATTCATCAAGTTCCATGGTATCCATGCATCTCAGCGATATTCATGGTGGCATCACCTGTGGACGTGTTCCTTCCGGAAACATTCTCAGGGTTCTTGCTTCTCCCACGCAGTTGCCTATCACGATCGACCATTCCTTGCGGTACCCTTCAAGGTTTATTACCTTAGATGATTCTGATTGACAACGGGAAGCAACGAAACAAAGAAAGTCAGGCGAGGAAGGAGAACAAAAAGAAAGAAGGAAGGACCCTCTTAGGTGCTCTTGCCCTCGTGGAAATACGACGTGGGACGGTGGGCCCGGCTAGATGGCTCCTGCGCGCCGAGCGCCACTCATCAAACAGGACGCTAGTCCTTGTTGGTACCTGTAAGTATGGGTCTCGTCCATCCGAAGACCCGTAGCTTTAACTCAATTAAGCATGGTCTTCCCTTGCCTTCCCGGATCCGGCACCCGTCGACCTGCAAAATGCCACGGAAAATCTCCTTGACAGTCACGATTCACACCTTCACACCCTCGACATGTATTCGTACGCAGTACTCCGTAGCGACTTGCCAGAACTTGCTGCCCACCAACAGGCGCGCTATTAGGCTAAGTCAGGAACCACACACTTCCAACTGGAAAACGCACCCACAACATGGACGTGCTAAAGGCGTATGGTTCATCTGATCAATGATGCGAGCTTGCTAGATCAAGCCTTGACTTCCACGAAAAGCTACCCCTCCAAAACCACATTCTCACCACCACTCTCGTTATCCATCACACTTCATCCCATCGCATACCAGTTGTATGGACGTTTGAAGCCATCTCCATCAACTAGACACTTTTGCCTCTTCAATTGCCCTCCCCGCTCGTCAAGTATGCCAATTGGGACAAATACGCCCTTCCAACTTCCCTTTTGTTCAATTCCTTGGCTACGAAGCTCTTCCACCAATCCCTTGGAGGGGAACTAATTCCAGGCACAATTATCCCACTTCTACAAAGTTCAAACCGTCTTTCCTTCTCGTCAATCTGTCAAGATGACAGAAATAATTAGCTTGTCACTCACCAACGCATCCTCCCCTCTCCTTCCGTTGCTTTGTTAGCCTATCGGATTGTTGTTTCCTCCAACAAGAGAAGCCTCTTTCATCATGCTTTCTCAAATAATGCCATTGAAACCAAACGCCTTTCCTTGTCCTCGTGCTTCCCGCATCTTTCTCTAGGCCTCGCCATCATGACACCTCGTTTATTTCAAGCTGACTCCTCAACAGAGTACTTGAGCCATGTCTCGCTCTTCATTGTCTGCGTCGTCCGCTGCTACTGTCATTCTCAATCTTCACCTTGGTCACTCTATTTTCGACGTTGGCTATCTCTGCCCTTCTCTGCCAGCCTTCCAGCACGCATCCACTCTGATTTTCACTCGCCTTGTTCGTAATTCAGATTCACTATGCAAGAAGCATCGCAGGATGTATTGGACGAATCAGAACAATATCTGGACAAGGTCTACTCGTCTCTCAACTGGCTGCCAGATGGCCCATGGAGCACTCACGAAAAGGAACCCCTACAAAAGCTAAAGGATCTCGGATTTCGAGGGCCGATCGAGGAGCGAGACGCAACCCACGAGTTCGTCTCCACAGAGCTGATAACCCAAGGAGATGCTAGGGAATTTGAATCCCAGATGATTCGGGCCCTCTCCAAGTCACACGCAGACTTCACGGCTCTCAGCGGGAAGGTCAATGTGGAGGTCATCACGAACCTACTCGAGGACGAACCATTCCTGCCCCGTAACGAACTCTTATCACTCGTCAATGGGGCGTATAAAGTTGCCCTTACCCGTCATCCCGAACTCGATTTCTTTGGGAAACACGACGGGCTTCCGCGTAATCACAGTGCCGACTTGGAGGAATACTATAGGCTCTTCAAACACATTGAAACTCGTACATGTGAGAATGGAGGGTGCTCAAGTCTCGTTCAAGAACGTCACTTACAAAGATGATCCCACCAACGACACGCAACGGGCCTACAGGACCTTCTTACTATCCTGGATGAACCAATCCGATCTCAGTAATCCCAAGCTTCTGGCACATCTCATCATAAACCGAATGAATTGTGACCCCAGTGCTTTTATATTCGCAGACTGGGAAGCACTGCACCTTGGTCGAGCCAGCAAGCTGTTCCTGCCCAAATTTGCCGACAACCGATTCATTGGGATTCTCACTTCGTCAGATGTCCAGTTGAGCAAAGAGATGGAACTGAAACGAAACGCCCCATATTTCTTCATCGTGGACGACTATATTCTGATCTTTTATACTGACCAAAGAGACCCTGACCAAGACTGGATGTTTGAACATCTGCGCAAGAGTGGTCGCCTCTTTGCCTGGGTCGACGGCATCCATCTCCTCCATACCCAAGCCCTGCTTTACCGAGTCCTCTACGGTGTCACCAAAGCAATAGCGACCAAAAGCGGCCAACCAAAGGAAGAAGTAGACGCTAAAGATATCGACCCTGACCGAGTCAAAGCCTGGAGAACAGCACACCGTCCAGAAAAACTCTTCTATTTCGAAAATGAGGGAATAGTCGAATACGGGCTGTACGTGCCACCAGCCTCTCTCGACCGGAATTGGCTTGACGAATTCAAGGCGAAGTTCAAACAGCAACTACAATGGTCAAAAGACCATTTAAGGAACCTTTGGCATGATCCATTCTACTTCCAGCAATGCGTCGATGAGCAATTTCAGCAGCACTACGGACATGTATCCGAGCAACCCCAGACCTCCGCCCACCATGTTCCGAAAAAGGCGGCAATGGCGGTATCATACCAAGGCGAACTTCCTCATTTTTTGGCACGCGACATTGACGCAAAGAAGAGTCTGATGAATGATATCATCAGACGCGTCGTTCAGTGGGCTCTATACGAAGTTGAAATGTGGCAATGCCTGGTTAGCAAAATCGATGCCTTGTGGAGCCTTGCTAATGCCAGCGGAGTTCGACTTTGGTGCTCAGAAGACTCCCAGCGTCTAGTAATACCAGACGATCAACCTGAAGTGAAGGAGGCCTGGGTTGACTTGGGATTCCATGCGCGCTGGTTTACGGAGCGTCGAATCAACCACGTCGTCGGCCATGGCGGCTTGTTTGCCACCGAAACAACCCGGCATCTCTTTCGTCGAGATACTAGCTGGCCAAGTTTACAAGTGGTCAAGGAGGATTGGGACCTACCCAAGGAGTATGCCGGTATCAAAATAGACTTCACTATAAGGCACCGCGAGGCGGCAGCACATGGGGACGCAATGGACATTGATAATAACGATATGAACGAACCTGATATCGAAAAGTTGGATAGTCCGACCTGGTGGTCAATCAAGAACGTCCACGCCGGTCTTTCGAGCAACTTCAACATTGGAACCATTGGCTTACCGAAGCTCATCCGGGCCTTGCGCACGAAGCTTTATGAGCGACACACGGCACTCGGGGCTCAGACGACAGTCACAAGAGACTATGAAGCCATACACTTGACAGGCTTACTCTGCCACCACATGCAATTTGTACATCCGTTTGGACAAGATCTCTTGGATGCCGAAGGCCGGAGCACGCGGCGCCGCGAAAGCCCAGTAGGCCCCTTTCTCATTGGCTTTGACGACGTTCCATTCGAGGATCTTGTGCAAGAGGAGACGCTGAGATACTTACAGTGGTTACTTGGAATCGTCTATAAACCGCACGGAGACAAAGACTACGGCCGGCATTCGTTGCTAGCCCAGTTGTGGGTGAGGAACTTTTGGCAAGAACTCTGCAACGGGCTTGTCAAGTCGACCAAAGAGTTGGAGTCGGAGGACTCGAACGAGTCGAAAGAGCCCAAAAAGTCGAAGAAGAAAACGAGTCCTGCGGGTGGTGGTAGGGGCGGCGGCGGTATCATGAGGCACGGGAGCAAGAGGGGCAAAGTCAGCAAAAATGCCGCCACGCCAAGGTATTGTCGACCGGCCGGCGTTCAACGGTATCTCACTGCCGATCCCCCTGGCAGGGTCGACTTGGAACTGAAACTACCTCGGTACGATTGCAAGAAGATCTGCGGAGAGATTATGACCGTCGCGCCCCCGGGCCATCGCGAACCTCCAGGTTGGGACTCTCGTCTACCCAAGCTCATAGTGAAGCCGACTCCTGAGGATAGAGAAGGAGCAGACAAGAACGACGAGGACAATGGCAAGGTCATGATACGGAAGCCGGTTTGGGCGACCATAGAAAAGATTTGGAGCCGCGTTGTCGGGTCCGTCGTCAAGAGGAACGTGTTTGAGGTCTTTGGCGCGTTCGATTTCGCGTACCAGACCGCCGAGGGATCTCGCGAGAGGTTCAGGTGGACTCCCCAATCCAAGTTCCCGGCACCGATTGGAGCGAACGGGGAGCCCGAAGCGAGAAGTATCACGATTCATTTGCCGCACGATGCCAACGCAGACATGAGGAGCGATCAGCTTCGGTGGCTTCGAGAAGCTTGCGCCAATGTGGGCATCACGGAAGATACTATAAACAGGTATTACTATTGCCAAGGTAGGCATGCAGCTATGCGGTTGGGAGTTTGGGCAAGTGGAGGGCCGGGCGGCAGCGAAGGCGCTGTCTCGTGAACTTTTTACTTCATAGTTCTTCGGATATGGTTTGTGGGAGTCACTCGACGTGGAGGTGGATATAAAGACGGTGGAGTTCAAGTTTCTCTATTTCAAGACTGACGCTTCTTTACTTTTGCTGATAATTTGAGACTGCCATACTGGAGCCCGTGGTATTTTCCCCTGAAAGTCAACTTTTCAGCCCCTCGTCCATTGTCAAGCGAACTGTCTTGCCCTTTAGAAACTCCCAACCATTCTCAGGCTTTTCACCCATCTCCAACCTCGCAACTCCCGTCTGCTCGCACCTCAAACCACCCTCGCCGGCCCCCCAGTCGTCACACTACCACTCCGACCCAACTCACTCCCTACATCTCCGTCATCCTCAACTGCTCCCGCAGCAGAATCACCAGCAACACTGTCCCGGACGGCGGTGGTACTCCGTCCCCTGCGCGGTCCCAGATCGACGGGCACGAGGACGCGTCGCTTGACGAAGCGCATGTACACGAGGAAGCAGAAGAATAGGAACGAAACGACCATGGTGAAGGCTAGGATGCCTACCAGGGCGTTTACACTCGAGTCGCTTGCCATTATTAGTGGTATGTGGTGTGTGGTTTTTTTGATATAGCTTGAGCTGGTGATGAAGATGTGAGTTGATCTTGTTAGCTCAGGTGCCAGAGGTGCTTTGATAGCAATGCTAGAATCAAGAATGTTTTGATGTTGAGAGATATGACCGCTTATACTTGGCTTCTTTTATACAAATCGAGATGGTCTCGTTAGATTTTCTTCATCTCGGACAACAACGCTTCATTTTGATCGATGGAAGGAGTGAATCAGGCAACACTCAAAACCAACCTAGCGGTGTATTGTATTCAAGGCAGTCACGGAAAAAGATGACACATTTAGACGAGTAGCACATATCTCAAGCTTCATGAATTACTCTACATCACGCAAGGCGGCGAGGACCATAGTTCTTAAAGATGTCAAGCGATTATGATTATCAGGAGACTATCCCATATGTGACAATACCGAAAACCCGGATCCCGAAGCCATCAAAAGCAAAGCGAAGGGTATAATGCTATGTGCAGCCCACCAAAATGTTGTATCCCCGTTACCTGATTCCCCGAGAACCGACCTGTTCCGGTCCGTACCATACCAAAAAGACACCTGTAAAACCGTGTATTCTCCCGTCGCCCTGTCCGCACATGTCCGTTCCAGCCTTTCCACCTCTTCGACTATCTTCTAGAAAGTCTTACATGATTTGACCGGTCCCAGTCCAAGTTCTCCCCTGTTCTATCCCGACCCCTGTCCCCTTCGCGCCAGTAAAGATAAATGCAAAGATAATATGAAATGTATGGGTAGAGAGAGAAAGAGAGAGACAGACAGAGAGAGAGAGACAGATAATGAAAACGCTGTATAGGGTATGTTGGGTGTTGTGTTGTGTGAGGAAGGGTCCAGAGCAAGGAATGTCGTTGCAAGCGCAAGTGATGTGATTGTAGCGATGTGGAGATGGTTATCGTGTATGGTTGAGATTGCCGAGACGTGGTCCAGATAAGCGACGTCAAGTGCCAGGCGGGCCGTGGGAATGTTTGCTAGCAATACACCTAGGGGGTTTGGAGAGGCGGAAAAGGTCGTATTGGTAGTAATGCCGAGTCGTTTGTGGGGTGGTAGTGGGCGGTTTCTCTATGGGGGAAAGATGAGCGAAATGCAACCGAGTCTATCACCAAACGAGCCGTAGACAAACGCCGTTGTATCCTTTCTATGCAGGCAGTGGGCAGCTCGAACTGCAGTCATTCCTGAAACAAGTATGAAAGTGTCTCAGGCAAGGAGGCAGGCAGGTGGTGTAGTAAATCGACGCCAAGATGATGAGCCAGCCCAGACCACGAGAGTACGCGTCGCTAGCAGCGTCGCGGTCGGAGTTGCATCTGTCCGCGCCCCCCGTCTTTGCCGATCTTGGAGTGGATAGCGAAAGTGCGCGCGCAGTGGAGGGTCGGACGGGCTGCGTGAGAATAAACTCAGCCGCGCCACCCGCGTTTGTGAAGCGAGTCGAGAGCCAAGGCATGCCATGATTGCTGTGGTGGTGGTGATGGTGGTGGTGGTGGGGATTGCTACTCATCTTGGCCGGGGAAATGGACTTCCTAGCCAGAAGATGTTTCCTTGTCTTTTTCGTGACAGATGAGCCGGCTCGTTCTTGGTCGTTGGTTTAGGGGCGCTTGTCTAGACTTGAAGGCCATGTGAATGGCTCGGGTGAGCCCTTGAAACCCATGTATGGAACACGGGAACGCCAATGCACGACCGAAGAGGCCCGGCGGGAAGGCAAGCGAGTGGTCGAAGACAAGCCGGTTGAAAGACGGGTCCGGAGAAGACAGAGTAGTGTCTAGCATTTTGGAGCAGGCGGATAAGGCGCGGTATCGTTCGGTAGCTCCTTGACGCAGATGATGTACGTCATGCAGGCCGGACGGATGCAGGCGACCCCTCCAAGAGACGATCACCAGATACACCCCCAACCCATCATGCACCAAGGAAAGAGCTACTGATTGGCGACGTTGAGGGTCGAGGCTCGAATCCGTTATCGAAGTGCAGGCGGGCAAACGCGGAGGTGATAGGTGGTCTAGAATCGTCCCGTCATGGATGAGAAACAGAAGTGTGGCCAGAGAGGCAAAGTAGACGCCGCTTGCCCCTGCACTCTTGCCCATTGTGACAATGCGGTGAAGGTCTAGGGAGGGGTTCATCCATACTGAAAGCTGTCGGAAAAAAAAAAAGAGGGAAGCATCGAAAGGTTCCCCCCGCCTCCCAGAGCATAAGGTAGAACAAGACTGCCAGCTGAGATGGTAAAGGAGGGGGAAGGTGAGGGTTGAGGATTTGGTGTGTCGGGGGGAAAAGTGGCTCGTAATCCCTAAAGTCGATGCCGGAAAGTGGAGCAGACGGTGCCGGTCGCTGAGCGGGGCAGAGGTGATTCGCCGACTCCATCTAAATCGGGAAAAGTGGATTCGATTCCGGAAGCCTCCATTGGTCTGCGCCACAGCAGCTGACAGCACCTCCGGGGTCTCCACCCATCCACACCAAAAACGCCTAGATGCTCATGCTCCTGCTCCTGCTCCTGCTCATGCTCATACTCAAGCTCAAGCTCAAGCACCGCACTGCTTAATGACAGTCAACCAGGGACCAAGACAAGGACTGCAACGGGCAGATGCGAGTGTGTGTGACCGGGGTGGGAGGGGAATAAACCCGTAGACCCCTACACCACACCTCCATCTTCCTCTTGCAGCCCGTCCAAAGTCGCAGCCTGACCATCCCCAATCAAGTCAACGACGTACGACTTGCTCTCCGACGACATCTCTTGATGCTTCCCTTCCCTTTGTCCAGCCCTGCTCTTGTTCCCGTGTTTCGTTCACGCGGTTGCCCTGTGTCTCCAAGCCCCTCCCGTACCCCTGGGCCCTGGCCCCAAAGTAGTGACTCACTCCATCGACTCTTGACAAGAAACTTGTGTTGCTTCCGGGATATCACGCTTGCGCCTCACCAGACGCGAAGCACCTTGCCTCCTAGGCCAGGTCACCGTCGCTCACTTGGCCCGCCGCCGCCGCCCACCGTGGACCCTCACTCCCACCTAGGGGCCTCCGCGGCATCAAGCACGTTGCGCCCCGTCCCCGTATCCGCCACCACCGTATACTTGGTGACTCGGGGTATGGTGCGCAGTCATGGACTGATACTGCTCTGCATAGGTAGTGGGTGCATGCATCGCTGGTATCGTAGCATCCCACCGTCCAGGGGCTGAAGGCGGTGTATGCTGGTTTCCTAGCGGTGTCTGAAGTCCGCCGCCGTATGAATGGCTCGTCATCGACCGACTGTCATAGCTGCTGACAGCTGGTAAAGGTGCAGCGAGACGCAGTCCAGATTGCCGCGGGGACACTGATGTAAGTGCGGGAGAAAGGTTGCGTGGTGGTCCTGTCGAGTACGCCGGCCAGCTGTGCGTGCTGCCAGTGATCGACCTCGGCGAGGTCAACCCTTCGTGGTGGTGGACTTGCGATGGAACACCATAGGCACTGACATGGTCCGATGCAACAGTTGGGGCTGGCGGCGTCGGGAGCGGCGGAGGATACGCGTTGACCGGTGTGGGCGTCAAAAGGTGCGAGGCTGGAAGAGTCGATGAGGGGCTAGCGCTGTATTTGCCAATGATCTTCTTCAGCGCCGATTCCAAAATCTTCCACGGGAAAACTTTGACATCCTTCTCAATGTTCCTCGGCTTCGGGTTCGGGAATCCCATAATGATCTTGAAGAATTCCTCCGAGTCAGCCTTGGCCTTGCTAACTGTCAGAGGCCGGAAGCCCTCAAGGTTGCGACGGATGCGATTCTTCTCCTCCACGGTGAACCTGGCTGGAGCGACGACAAGCTGCTCCAAGAGATAGATAGTGTCCACAGATGTGACGTAGCACTCGTTCTTTTCTGCCCACCAGATGCAGCTGATGCAGATGCTGTTGGGTGGTCTCTCATTGACATTGACGGGTCGGAAGGTCGCCGTGAGCGTCGGTCCCGTCTGTTTCTTACTAAACATGACGATGCGTCTTCGGTTCGACCATTCCTCGGGAGACCAGTCGATAGACATGGTGTCGAGCTTGCCAACAATCTTCAGTTGAGCCTTGTTTGAATAAGATCCCCAATGATTGTATCCAGACTGCTGTCCGCCTCCGGGAGAGCTTGGGATCGAGCTTGTCCTAACAAGCAGAGGCATCGTGGCAGATGGCATGGGCAGCGGCGTCAAGCTAGGACGGGAGATCTGCGTGTGCGTGATGGGGGGGCCGGGCGTTCGTCCGTATGCTTGCCATCCGGCCATTGGCGGCCGCAACGGCGGGGGCACCGCCCGGGCGTAATGCTGCTCCGGGAAGGAGTTGGTTCGGTAAGCACTGAGCATGTTGTTATTGTTATTGTCTTGCGAGAATGAGTTTCCATAGGGAGACTGGGCAGGTTGTTGCGGAGCTGTAGCAAAGTCGTACGTATTTGTACTGGCTTCGTTGCCGAGCTGAGTGCTTGCTGACCTGGGGGACTGATGTTGCTGTTCAGGTGACTTGGACACCTTCCTCGTGATGTCGTCTGAGCTAGCACCTGGGCCTGCTTCGTGATATACAAATTGACCCGCTGCCGCCTTGAACACTTCTTCGCCATTCTCTGTTTCAATCAGCACCAAAACTGGCACGTTTTCGTTGGCACAGCTGGTGACCACAAATGGCGGTGCATCGGCCGAGACAGTGAACATGTACCCGTTGCTGTCCTGGGACTCTTTGGTGGGTTGTGCCTGCACCTTGTTCACGCCGAAAACGAGGGAGTAGAAAGGCGCGACAGTGAGTAGATCGTATGGCGAGTTGATCTTGACCTGCACTTTGGTGCCCGCCATTCCAGAACTTGGTTGACTTGATACCACCGATGGACCTACACTGACAGGCATGTACGAGCCAACCGCACTATTGGCCGCAAAAGCTTCCTGGTTCATCTGGGCTGCGGTGAGCTGACCTGCACTGCCGTGCTGCGCAGGATAGGCTTGCGCTCCATATTGCTGATACCCGGCATCCTGATACCCACGGGATGAATCATACCCTGCAAGGAAACACGTTATGTCAGTCATAGCACTACAGCTGGGTGTATTGCGCCACATCTCTCATGGTAACCGAAAACATTGCACAAAACACTAGAGAGAAAGAAAAAAACACTTACCGTGGATTGGGCCTGGCTGTTGCTTCCCGTAATGGGACATGGGGAGGAGACCGCCCGGCGGGGAGTCGCCCCGAAGGTCTCCGTTGGCCCTTGCGACTGCCTCTTCGTACTTGAGAGTCACCGTTTCTGGCGAGTCAAGGCCTTCCTCGCCGATGATTATTGGCCTTTGCGGATGGAAGTCGGGCTGTTCTCGGTGAGGCACACCTCGTCAGCCTTGCTGCACTCCTCAAGATAATGTGAGGTGTTGTCGAGTGATGCGACCAACGACGTCTCGGGGGTGGCTCAACTCCACGTTGAGATGCAAAGTTTTGACTCACCTCGAAATGCTTGTAGGAAGCACACTCAAACTTCGCAGCAGACATTCAAGCTGTAGAAGAGGGTGCACTTGGGAAAGGATGCGTGGTCTGGTGTCGGGAAAATGCAAACCACTGTTTCGGGAGCAGTGTTGCAACGACAGGAAGAGACTATGGCCTTGTGGGACCGTCGAGGGACAAAGGGAGGAAGGGAGAGATGTGTCTTGAGATTGCTGTGATTAGAGTCCGGGCGAGTTTTATTGAACAGGCCAAGGACGAGTGCGAGGGAAGGGAGAATTCCTAGTAGAGGAACGTCAGTCTCAGGAGATTCTCCCGGCAGGATTGGTTTGAGACACCGTACTCAGATATGTGGATGGCGTTTCCGAGCTGGCTAGTGGCGCTAGGAATTTGAGAAGATCGGCTGCTCTGATTATTGTGGAGGTTCGACGCGACTGGAATCGAAATACGAGCTGTAGAGGTCGGGCCGGGTGACGATACCAGGTTAAGAAGAGCGAAGCAAGTTGGAGAAATGTAGAAAGCGAGAAGGCTGAGAAGATACCCAGGAGCGGCAATCTTAAACCAAGCTCAGCTCTTTGAGAGCAGATGGTCGCGCGAAGTGAACTCAGACCGATGCACCTGTCATTGGTCGCCGGGACGCTGGCAAACCGAAATCTGAGATCAAGTTTCGGGATGACCCAAGAATTCCAACGCGTTGGTAATCGACTAGAAGATGCTGTGCTGGAACTGTTCATTGGCACGCAAGTCAGCCTGAATGTTCCCAAGGTGGAGCGTTGATGCTCCTTCGCAAGAACTGCTGGCTGGACGGCAAGGTGCAGCAAGTGGCATGTCGGCTTCTTGCTGGAGTTCGTGGTGGCCATGCACCTGCTTGCAGGCAGGCAGAGGAAGGAATCACGTACTCAACCGTCTAGGCCGGGGTGTTCGCCAGTGGTGTGTCCAATCAGGGCTGGAGGCCGTTGACAAACAGACTGAATCCGTTGACGATGCCAAAGACGTAGAGCTGAACCGTGCTTCGTTCGTTGGTCCTGCAGGGTGATGGCGAACCTGTTCGTGAGAACCAGAGAGTTAAAACAAGCGTCCTTTGAAGGAAACAAGGCCAAAGATCCCGCAGCACTCGTGCGTTTCTTCGGCGAGAAGAGCAGCAGGTTTTGCGTGGTCCACCAAGCCAGAAAGTGCCCGAATATCGAGTGTGAGGATACTCACCGGTCATGAACGGGTTAGGCGAACTCGGAAATGGGGAAACTAGAAAGAGAGTATGAGATGGGGAGTAAGAGGGAGAGACGAGACTGGGACTCAGAAAGTCAGACTTTGTCGCTGATTTTGTTGCGGGGGTGAAGGAGGTAGATGAGGAATGTTGACGAAGTACGGGGCAGTGGTGTTGCATTTCTCGCATACCCAGGTCTGATGGAGAGATGGCAGAGTCGTCCGTCTCCCTGCAGGCCAGGTACGGTACGTGTGTTATGAGTGTCGAAAGGGAAGACGACGACGACGAGTCTGTGGCGACAGAGAGGTTCGGCCGGACAGATCCACTCGGGAGGGAACAGGGCCCTTGGGAAGATGGATATTGCTTTTCGTCTGCTTGCCGCACTAACAGAAAGCTCACGTACCAATAGCTCCGTCTTGGGGATCCCGACTACCCTCCCTTACAGTAGTACCCCTCGTCGTTTCTTTTGGAAGAGGCTTCTGCGTCCTTCCCTAGCCAGTGGAGATAGGTAATCTGGTCCACGGGTAGCTTTTGGCGGAGGAAGAAGCGGGCAAGGAGAGGGACTCAAGACCGGGTGGCATATGTGGGGATGAGGGGAGGGGGGTGTGTACGGTAAGGGTATCCGTACAGGAAGCAACCTGAACGTGGTTATGGATTCTTGTAGAGGACTGGCAAGGCTGGGCAGGGATAGGGACCACCGTTGGGGATGCGAGGTTCCAGTTGTCTTATGAGCAACAAAGTCTCATTCATCTGAAGAGAGAAGGGTGGGGGAGCGGGAGTCAGTTGTTCATTGAGGAAGGGTGTTGCGCGTGTTTGAGTGGCTGTAGGTATTTCGTAGATGGTGATGATGATGTATAGGAACCGCTTCAGCTGGCAAGAGTTGGCATGCAGTTGGGGGGAGGGGAGAGACTTGCTTCGTAGAGGATTTGGGGGTGTGGCAAGGGAATAAGGCTGTCACCCATGTTTTGTGAAATGCTCTTTGCTTGCTACCTACTCAGACACCACGGATAGGTAGGTAGGTACCGTAGCTTGACCAGTTTCTAGCCCAAAGAAAGGCAAGACACGGGGCTGTGGTGTCAAAAGCGAGAAGCAAAGCAGAGAGAAAGGTCTCTCATGCAGGGAGACCGAAGGGGAGAGACCGTTCGTAATAGGGAAAGAAGGAAACGGCCGTTGCAGGAAGAAGAAGAAGAAGGGGAATGACAAATGGCAGGGTACATGAGGAAGCTCAGGACGAGGGGCCTGGATCCATAGATGGATGAGAAGATGGCAGAAAAAGAGAGAAAGACTGAGATTGAGGAGAAGAAAAAGGAATTATGGAGGGGACTCACGCGTCAAGATCGACCGTGATGAGCGGCAGCGCAGAAGAGGCAGTACCGGGGTATTGCTAGGTGAGGTACCTTACGTACAGATGATGTACGGCACAACCAAGAAGACTCGCAGGCACAGGTGTTTCTAGGTATCCGAAGTGAAGTTTTTGCCGTGTTAGTTGGCCTGGTAGGAAACATATAAGCAGCGAGGCGATCGGCCCTTGTCGTTATTGCTTGCAATATTGGAAGATGCACGCTTGGTAGGGCGGGAGAGCTTCAGATTGACTTTTTGCGTTCAGACAACTGAGGAACTGAAGAGAGACGAAGCGAGAAAGAAAGAGAGAGTGTGTGAGTATGTGTGTGAGTGTATGTGAGTGTGTGTGAGTGGGTGAAGGCGTGAGTGAAAGACAGACTGCGGGAAGGGGGGTATCGTAGAAGAGAGAGAGTGAGTGTGAGAGTGTGTGTGTGTGAGAGAGAGAGAGAGAGAGAGAGAGAGAGAGAGAGGCTCGAGGCGTGTGTCGATCAACCGCAGCTGGAGCTGGTACGGATAGGTACTGTACGCAGTACTTGGTAGATGGGATTTGATGTCTGCGAACCATGGGTTAGCGTACTGTGATTGGCCATAGCTCCTGTGAGCAGCTGCAGCAAACCCAATGAGCGGGATGGTTGGGATGAACGAGAGGAATGGCCGTAGACCGACTGTGGCATGTGGCCAGGATTAGGACGGACCGGGGCTCATCTAACGGCATGGAGGGGTGCGGTGCTAGTCTGTGCAATCGGGATACAAGCGGCACGCTCCAGTGTCACTGGATCTGGCTTGGGATACTACCGACCGGCTGAACCCTTGCATGCGTCCGTCCGCACCCCCTCAACCACCAAAGACCTTGCACAAGACCTGTCAGGCAATGTACAAGCGTGAATGTACACGAGGGATACCCCAGGCTAAACCAAACCGTCATCCAATACCAACCCTGTGTGCTCGTGCCTTTTGAAAACGGGGGGGTGATTTGGGGGGGGATGTGAGAGGGGGGGGGGGGGGCAGACGAGGGAAGACTATGAGAATGGCAGACTGGCTGTACAGTGTGAGAGAGAGAGTGAGAGAAGCGCATGAAGCAAGGTTGGTGAGCCCATGCCACAGATAGTGTAGCTGAAAGAGGGCACATTTTGCCAACATGGCACCATCATCATACCTAGACACCTACCAGGAAAAGCACGGGAGCCGGTGGAAGATCAGATGTGGGAAAATGGAGGAGATCGGGAGATCCGCATGAAGGGATGCAGCAACCTGGGTATAGAAAAGATGAGACTTACATCTGATTCAAAACTCAGAGTGAGATCCAGGGACCGGACCGGCTTCGACCTAATGTCTCTCACGATCGTCTTTGGATATCTGGTCTGCGGCCTGCCCGCCTCTAGGTAGGTAGGCAGGTTTATCCGTAGGTAGCGTACGATCAGCGTGCTTTCTGGAGGCTGAAATCCAATGTGCCAATGTCTGCGCCGGTCGAGCGTACAACAACCAACAGCAGGGCCTGGGAGCGTTGGGTTGGACCGGTGTCGTCCGCGGCCGAGATGAAAGCCGACGGAGATCTATGGAGATCTTGAGCCCAGCAAGGTATAATACTACTAGGTATCCCTATCCGTACAGTACCTACACGACTGGTACGGTACTGCTTCGCCTCGACCGAAAAAAAGGTCGTTGGGGGTCAAATCACTCGCCGGTGTCGCTTCGGCTGCTCGGGCTTCCGGGGCGCATCTGCCAAATGACGATCTCTGATGCCGCTGTGGAGTGGGCGTAAATTGTCCCGACTGGGAGTGCTGTCAAAAAACAATAAAAAACAGTCGCGATAAACGGCGAGGTACTCGGTAATGCGAAGAAACCCAGACAAAACTGCTTTGCACCCCCTTGGATATGCTTATTTCTTCCTTCGCCTTGGTCTCAGAGGGTCGATCAATAACGCGTGATATTCTCTACCGGTAGTCTGTATTAGACGATCAAGGACACATCGAGTGGTGGTGGTGGTGGTGAAGGGGGCTCAAGCGAGGCTTGCGCTGGTTTCTGTTGCCGTACGAGTAGAGTAGGTACACTCACAACACTGCCTCTCCTCTGAGCTTCTGTCTTTGCCTGTTGCCTGCACGCGAGCGTCAAAAAGACGCCATGGGATTTCTGTGCCTCACCGGGGGGTTGATCTCGGAGCTTTCCTGCCCTGCCCCTGGCATT